GAAACGTGAGAGATACGGGGTTGGTCAAATATGAGTTTGTTGGTTAACTAGGGAAAGGGTGTTTTTCACCAAGATATCAACTCGATCGTTTACTTTTTACCGAAATAATAAATATACAGATCTTCCCATCAGGTTGGATGATGGACTGGTTATGAATCTCAAATATCCAGCGCCCAAGATTTGACAAAACTGGAAAGGAAACAAAACCACAGGACATAACCTGCAGAGGAAGTTCCTTGGTAACTCTACGGGTCAAGAATGGAGATTTTGAAATCATTGCGATCCATGCAACGTATGAGAGACAGCGAGAATATAACGCTATGCAACTTTTCTCGGTTATTCCAAAAGAAATGCATCTCTCTCCCTCAGTTTCGGTGCCCTTTTTGCGGGACATGCCTACAACTAAAGGGACTTTGAAAATCCCTGTTCGTGGGCGCATTCATGAGTCGTTCGCTCTGCCGTTTTCGAGTCAAAAATTTTTTCAGCGAATATAATTCCACCTTCCAGAGTGATATATATGATTTCTTCCAGAAATATCCTTCATATCTCAAAGTGAGGTGAATTCTCGTCTTTCACAGGAGCAGTGATGCTCGCGACTAGAGGAATGGTTTTTACGGCAGGCCTGCAGGGACGGTCAGAGAGCTCAAAGCCTTCCTCTCAGAACAGAGGTATATTTTCCAACGCCGAGGTAGTCATGTCCCCTTCACTCTTCTTCATAGTCTAGGCCGTATGTTGGACTCCGTGGGATCTATTGTTTCTGTCAAAAAGGAGCGGTGGGGAGGTGAAGGGCGAAGGAAGAGAAGGACCGGTTTCGTCTAAACCAAGCCAAATGAAGGGGAGAAAGTTCACCTTATCCATATGCGGTGCCAGTGTTCTTCATCCTACTTCGGAACCGTACATACGGAGAGCTGCACAACGTGTCAAGCGGCTAGCCCCGCAATATTGTGTCCTTTCCAAAACATCGTCGATAATCGCTGCGACAACATTCCTCCGCCGTTAAAAGCAGAACTAAATAGAGCTCTTTGGCCAAGTACAGCACAGCCAGTCGAATGCTTGAATGTCGGATTAAATCGTCGAAGCATGTTGGCAATGGCCCCGTCCTGGAGGATGTTGCCTAGGTAAGTACCAACCAGCCTTGCAGCTCGACAGATATCCATCGCAAGTCGTGCATGCATGAGTTGCGATTAGCATCTCGTTCTTCCAACTGTTTTCTGCTCCTTCGTTAATTCCACGTCCTATAAAGCGGCCCCTCTAAATTCCATCGGGTATCGATATAACCATTCTTCCGTCTGGGACTTTCACTCCAATCAGACATACAATCTGAACGTGAAGTTCATTCTCCCCTTCGCAGCTGCCATTACGTTTGCAATCCCCCAAGTGCTGGTGCCCCAGTTGCTTCGCCAGGGAGTGCTTCGCAAGCACAATGTACGGTGGTGGTATGTCTTAGACCCCCTCTAGTTACATACGCACTGCTGTCCTCTCATACATCGTTTTTACTTTGCCACTGACAGTGTGCTTGGTGCGATCGCAAGACTGATCTTCTGTCACATTGAGTGTTCCCCCTGGGACAAATACAAGTGTAGTAGGTGAGCAGCAAACTATCTAACTCAAGTCTCCAAAACATGGACATCCCTTCTAGCCAAAAAACAAACAAACGAGGACGTAAAACACTGACTCCCCAAAGCTTAAGAGAACGAAATGAATATATCCTCGCTTCATTGAATGTGGTTCTGTTTGCTTTTTTTATCTGCAAAAAGTTGTATGTTGCTCTATCTTCTTCATCACTTCACAAATCTCTCTTCCAATGAGGATCGTGGCTCATTCTCTGAAGATTTGTTTTTCAGAAATAACCCCAAGGTCCTTCTGACGGAAAATCATCCTCCGGTCGTTAGAGAGGAAGGTCAATGAAGTTAGAGAGTTGTCTGAATTTTCGTTGAATGATTGATGTAGTTCCAGGCTTGCTGTCGCTCAGAAACTGTGGACACTCAGGGCCCAAACATAAGCAAGCATATCGCTCCGGCCTTTCGGTTATAAAGTGATGGTTCCCCTTCTTAATTCATTCCAATGATCCATTATGCTCCAGTTTGCAGATTTGATTTTGATTTTGATTTTGATTTTTTTTTTTTTTGGGCTATTCTCTCCACCGCCGCTTTCTTTTCTTCATTTAACTACTAAATCATAAGGTCACTCCGCGGAATCCCTATCTATTTCCTGTACATACATCCATAAATCAAAGTAAGTACACACAATGTTAGTATGAACGTCCTCCTCCTCTGACAAAGAAAAAGATGCTCACATCCACAGGTTGTACAACAGGCGATAAGTTATTCCGTCTTGCAGGATTTTCCCAGTTAGTGAAGGAAGAGTAATCCTCACCACCGCGAGGCATTCATTCAGGCTATCAAGCGAAAGGCGAGTTCCCTCCCCAATCACCTGCCTGTCTGTCAAGGGTGAGAGATGCTTCAGTCTATGTTGTCCTTCGTTGATATGAGGTGAAAAGCTGTTCTGACTGACAAGCAGCAACGTCGCAGCAAACCCTGCTAGAAGGAACGGGGAGGAAATAGGGTGGGAATAACGAGGCAGACCCTGACGACTAGTCTGATTACATTTCACTTATTCGCCAGGCTACATAGAGAGTTATCCTATCACACTCATCCCTGGCAGATAGCCCCGTTACCTGTCGACGACAACACTTGGATGACCGATAAGATTCTGGTTTAACTGACTCTTTAACTAATCGCGCACTGGCTATTAATTTTAGCCGTCATATCTCTCTCTCCATATTGGAAAATTACCGCAGAAACCCCTGGCTCGTTGCGCTCGCTCTCTTCATCAGTTTGCGCTAACAGTTGAACGTGGTTTAAAATCTCAGCTGGAAATACCCTCTCTCTCATTAAAATTACAGACACTAGTCACATCTCACATATCTATCCTAACGCTGGTGTTGAGGGGCCGTGAGGTTGAAGAGAGATGTAAAACATCCATATAAAATTTCACAAAACTGACGACGAATATTTGTTTTTTCCTCCTTCAATTCTTCAGTGCTTGGACACGTTTATGCAAAATGTGTTTCAAAATTGCCTTTTGTACATAATATGGCCGGTAGAAGCCATAAAAGAAAATAGGGTGGCAATCAGATATTTCACAGTTATAAAAAGCTGGGTGAAATCAGTAGAGAAATTAAAGATCTTCTGCAGACAGAAGTTAGGTTTTTAACTTTAAATTCAATTACAGTCAACTAAGAAGAATGTTATATTAAAGTAGAAGACTAATTATCTTCTTCTATGTTGATAATATTAATGTTTATATTATTTTAAAGATATTTGAACATTTTAAACAAGACCTCACCCCACTGTGTATGATCTGTGAAATATGAAAGATTCGTTGAAGTGTTTTGAGAACTTGTATTTTTTTTTTTTTTTTTTTTTTTTCAAAAATATCAGAACCATGAGCTGTGATTTAACTATATCAAAGTTATATGAGTAAAATAGTCAAATTTGATCCGATATAATTGTCACTCTTCATCAAGAGTCTTGTCATGGCTTAGTGAAGATCTCCATTCCATATGACAGAACTGTAACTTCAAATGAATATCAGTACTGAATCAGATCTCTTATTCATCTAGCAGTCAACACATCCTCAGATCTGATATATGAGGTAAATTCTCTGGCAGACTTCATGATGAATCTGAGCCTGCAACGCTGGTGATATGATTGATTGAGTGATTGTGTTTGTCCAATCGAACTCATTATTAGCAGTTGAATAACTAACTACACCGGGCCAGTGTCAAGTTTGTCAACAGCCCAGCATTATCATCTACCCAGACGCAGCATTTGCTGATGACAACCACCACTTTCTTTAAGGAGCACAACAAGGAATGGTATTTACACGTTGCAGAAGGGGTTAGGTAGTCAAGCAGCAGACTGATAGCCATGTCTCCAGCAGAATCTACATGAAGCAGCAAAAAGAGTCAATTTGGTGGGAGAGAGTCTATAATCAAATTGGTCTGGGATAGTTAACCCAATAAACTTAGTTACCATCTCATTATTCGTAATGGTTACTGTCTATTGGCCTTCGGCCGCGCCCCAGCGAATCATGAAGCTACGCCATAACTAGCGATCGATAGTTATTCATAACCACTGGGGTCCCCGAGAAAGTCGCTTCCAGGCGTTTAGCAATCCAATGGGTGGATACGAAATCTACGATCGCTAACATTTTGACGACGCCACTATGGGGGGGGGGGGTTCAGGAGTTCGCTAAATTCATTATAAATACTGGAATTGGTTGATATAAGCGCCCCTTGTTTCATCGTTGATTCAATGGGCTCCACTTGTTTATTTCCATCTCAAGATTGCCCACGATTGTGCACGATTTTGCAACGGTTATTTCGGTGTGAGGGCTATGTCTTATAGGAGCTCGCCATGTAAAAATATCCACCTAAAATGCCACAAAACTGACTATTTAAATTAACATATATATACTCATATATATATAGTTTCTCCTTCAATTCTTCTGTGCTTGGAAATGTTTGACGTAAAACATGTTTCAAGATTAACTTTGTTCATAATGTGGCCGGCAGAAGCCCATGAGAAAAACAGGATACAATCGTATATTCCACGGGCATGAAAATCCGGGTGAAATCCGCAGAGAGACTTTGAGATCAAAATATCGATTTAGTAATTTTCCCATTTCGGACGTGAGATCCAACGTTATTCCTGTTTGATAGTGAGAGGATTATTATACAGCGTGGTGCTTATTTTAGACGAAGGGAACCAGAGTTTATCATGGGTTTAAAATAAGCGTCCCCATCTCAGAAAACATGTTCGGATTTCTTAAATCCAAACATTCAACTGTAATCTCCGTTCGCCTTAATAATATCTGCTTACCTTGCTCCCACATTATCATGTCGGCAAAATCCCGGCCGGCGGAGAAACAGAATGCTCCCACGTCAGCCTTTCCTGTTCAAATTCTTCACTCTCATTTCACTCATTCTCGTCGGCATGATCTCCCTCTTCTCATATAAGAACCGAACAGCTCTCACCTCACGCAACGTTACATCCTTCAAAAGTTTCCTGTCATCATCATCCACCTCCTCCAAGCCCATTCCGCAGAAAATCTGGTACAAACTCGGGGCGAAGGGCATTTCCTCTAAAATCCAAGAATGGACGGCCACCTGCATATCGAAAAATCCCACCTACGTCACCGAATTCCTTACTGACGACTCTGCCGACGAGTACGTAAAAGTCCACTTCTCTCACCGCCCGGACATCGTCGACACCTACCTCTCCCTCCCCATCCCCATCCTCAAGGCGGATATGCTCCGCTATCTTCTTCTGATTGCGGAAGGGGGCATCTGGAATGACCTCGACGTAAGTTGCGGAGACATCCCGATACGTGACTGGATACCCGAACAATTCAAGAAAGATGCAAACCTAGTCGTAGGATGGGAATTCGATGTTGGCTGGGGCGAATCTATCATTCGCCAATTTACCAGTTGGACCATAATGGCCAGGCCCGGCTCCAAGCACCTGGAGATGGTCGTTCTTGACATTCTGGATGCAATTGATAAGACCAAGAAGAAACATAAGCTGGCCAAAACGACAGAGTTGCAGATGCCAATGCTGGGTGATATTGTCGACTTCACGGGCCCGAGAAGATTGACAAGTGGCATCTTCAAAAGTCTCAGTGAAGAATTGGGTGGGGAAGTGAATGCCGGGAATGCATCGAATCTACTGAGTCCCAAGCTGCTTGGCGATGTCTTGATTTTGCCTGGATTTGCATTTGCGAGTTCGACAAATAGATATGAGGGTGTAAAGGGGCCGGATGGGAAGGATTTTGAACCTGGCCCATCGTTGGTTACACATCATTATGCAGGGTCGTGGAGGAATGAGCATGGTGGGGAGGTGGTGTAAGTTTCATACGTGCTTGTTCAACGATCGTGCAATGCTCGGAATCGGAGGATATTTGTTTGTTTTTTCTTGGAAAACTAGAACACTAGCGACGCAGGGACTGGTATACGCACAGAACGACGTTTAAAATTGCTTTCCATGGTGTTTAGGTCTTTTGTCAATTCGCTTGCCCTAAAATCACTTCGTCAGCTTTTGCTGCTCAAATTTAAAAGTTTGGCCCAGGAAGATCACCACTGAGCAACGGCAGAAACATACCTCAGTCCTTTATGAAAATATAATGAGCATGGACCCTCTAAAACAATAATAAATAAATAAATAAATAAATAAATAAATAAATAAATAAAATAGGAGTTATTGGATTTAATGGATAAATGTGTTAAAAGACTGTGATCAGCTATTCAGTTTTATACAAGAAAGGAAAGAAAGAGACCTGAAATACTTATGTAGGCTGCAGTACATACAAGTTGTACTGTCTGCTCTTTGGATCAAAATGTGTAAGCCTAAGTCACAAACACACACACACACACACACATATATATATATATATACGTATATACAGCCAAAATAAAGTGTATAGACATATATGAATCAATTAGTAAACCTCTCAGCTTGTACTTTTAACCTGTTCAAACAAACGCTTGAACGCCAGTGATTGCACGCCCTATAATCAGACCTACAGGGAGAGAGAGGAAAGAGTCAGCTTTTACACTATGTTTTGGGAAAATGCACTCTATGGGGGGTTATGGGGGATGAGCGTGGAGGCAAATGAACTGCTTACTATGAATATCACTTTGTCCTTCATATGTCTGGGTAACGAATAGGTTTGCTACATGGCGGCCGATATGGTATTCATCACTAGCAGCGTTGCCGCCAAAAATCTCTTGGAGACTGTGGATAGGAAATCGTGTTAGCTTACGTTGAAATGACGCCGCATAAAAAATACCAGAAAGGAAATGGATTAACGGGGGCCGCAGGGGATGA